ACTCTTGTCTTTGCCCAATTGCTTTTAAATAATTAACACTTAATGAAAAGCTGACTTTAGTGCTGACTGCATTTCCAGAGCAGCCGATCCTTCCCTGAGCTCAGACTCAGCAATCCATTTCCCACATGGCCCTGAACAGCTGTCACTGGTTTTATTTTGCAGAATTTCAAGTCAAAAGCTTTCCAGTAGCTTGGTTGCTGCTTAACCAAATCTTATATGGGTCAGAATAACAAAGCTAACATTGGTTTCCTTTTTTAAAAAAATCCTATATCTGCATTGATTAATACAATCCTGGCCAAAATGCAGGGTAGTATAAGAATTTAAGCTCAAAGTAGTGGGAAGGGATCAAAAGTACAACAAAATAAATTTATAATAAAAATTGGTCTCCCAACTCTCTTTGCCCTCTGCCAAGTGAAGCTCTCTAGGATACTTCCTATCATTTGCCTATCATTTTCTGTGTTGGTACATTTTTAAAAAGTAGAGCCACCCACATTCTAACTTTCTGAGAATCCCTTGGGTATCTTTGTGGAGCCAGAAGCTTTCTTTGAAATGGACATGCCACTGGGTGCAAGAACGCCACTTGGCAGCAACATGCAGTCTCCAGTTAATTTTTCTCTCCCTCCCCCTTAATTAAACAACCTGGCTTAAAAGGAAATGGGAACTTAAAATAATATAAACCCAGAGCTGAGCTAATAATACTTAAGTTTTACACACTGGGCTAACAGCTGCTTGTCCTTGTAGAAAAACAAGGTAGTTAAGAGGTAAGGGTCATGTCTCCATAGTGCAAGCTTCTCTTTGTGAGTGATTGGCAGGGATGCCTGTGTTCCTGTTGAAGGAAAATGGCTTTAGAAGAATGTGATCCAAATCTTGGTCAGATGTCCTGTGGGGACTCAGTAATGCCTCTTGGTTGTGCTGTATTTTAGCAGGTCATTTTGGATAGTTGATGAAGCATCCAGAAAATATATGAGAGAAAGCTAACCATATTAACTGCTTGGCTCAACTATAATCTCCAGAGCTCTGTAATGAGATATAATGGGAAGCAAAGCGACTCCCATTTCTTTCCTCAACAAATGTAGCTTTGGTGCATAGAATGCTTGATATGGTGCTAAAACACGGGATTGAAAATCCTGTTTCTACACCTTCACAGACTTCTAAAAAATGTCCTGTTTCTGCAGCTGAAACATGAAATGCAAGCTGCTGAGGCAAGTGCCTTTGGAATCAAGCACATAAATGGATAGGACTTTAGAAAAGAGACATCTTGTATGTCTGCTTAGACGAGGAAGAGAAAGTTGCTTAGGACAGTTGAGAGTGACAAATTCAGGAAGGAGCCATCTGGTACAGGGGAAAGGACTTTGCAGGGCTTAATAATAAGTGCTACTACCTCTTACTCACAATTCTCAGACTTTTGTTCTGTCACCGTCTGAAATAATATTCCTTTCCCCTCATGCTATAGATGATAGAAGATGTGCTGGGGGAAGGCTCTGTGTCTGCCAGTAGGTTCAGCCGCTGGTTTTCTAATCCTAGTCGATCTGGAAGCCGCTCAAGTAGTCTTAGATCTACGCCCCACGAAGAGTTGGAGAGATTGGCAGGTAACTGTGTCTTGTCCTTTCAGCCACCATTCCATGCCTTGTAGAGAGCTGTAGGATTGTGAGCTTCTCATGTTGTTGGTTGCTTCTCCCTCTTAAAGCGGTCACATCTCGGCCATGGAAAGAAATGTCTTGAAAATTGCTGTTGCAGCCTGTGAAAGTCTTGCTGGGTTCCCATGGTGTTACTTAGCCGCATAACTTACAAGGCAGTCCTGGTTTTTACTGTTTCAGGTCTAGAGCAAGGCATTCTGTCCCCTGGTCAGAACTCTGGAAACTACTTTGCTCCCATTCCTTTGGAAGATCATTCTGAAAACAAAGTGGACATCTTAGAGATGCTACAGAAAGCTAAAGTGGACTTAAAGCCTCTCCTCTCGAGTCTTTCAGCCAACAAGGAGAAGCTGAGAGAGAGCAGTAAGTCTCCCCTTCTGCTGTTGTACCTCTGCCTTCGGGCGCCTCTGACCAAAACAGGCCTCAGGGCCACATTTCCCTTTCCATGCAGGAAGTGCTAAGGCTCACTTCAGGAGTCCTCCGGGGTATTTGTTGACTTGCACTTAATTGCCTGGCCTGGGCCTCTTGGTGTGGCTGAAGCTCCCCTCTGGGCTTGAGTGGCATCTAAGGCCATGATGAAGCCACTAAGCACTCAGAGGATGCTTGCCTCTTGAGCAGCTCTTGCCAATACCATGTGTTAAATAAATAAATAAATAAGCCTCCGCTGCCTCAATGGTTTTAGTAAAGTTTCAGCAGCTACCCAAGGCTTCTCTGGATCTGCTATAAAACAGGAGCATTTAAAAAGGTGGGGTGCGGGGAAGACTAGCCCATGAAGTGGCAAGCCATGCTTACAAGACTTGCACAAGGAGGCGATTCAGCTCTTAGTCTTCCTGCTGGAATCCCATCTTGCTGATTATTGAGGTCCACCTTTACCTGTGAGCAACTGGCATGGAAGACCTGCATGTGTCATATGGGCATCCAAGCAGCCCGGCCAGCTTTCAGGACAAAGTCTGTTGGCCCCTTGAAACAGATACAGGCATGTGCCCGGTGCTGAAGGCCTGTTTGCATCTTTTGCTTTGTGGCATCCAAATTACATGGAGAGCAGAACTTTTATTTTTGTTTCGCAGCTTGGCTAATGAATGTGCATGCTGGAAAACAGAGGGTTTGGTCCTACAACAAGGGCATCTTGCTAACTAAGTCCCGAGCCTTTCCAGGCTTCCTACTGAACTATTGCTGAGTGTGTTTGAAAGACGGAGTGAAGCAAATTGGGACTAGGCCTCTCCTTCCGTGGATGCTGGTGCCTCTTGGTTGCCGCTTTAGTCACCAGGTTTGCCTGTCCCAGGGTCTCTGTGAGGAAATCCGAGCCAAGGGGACCTTCTGCTTCAGGGTTCCCTCCTCTCTTCCTGCCTGGAACTGTCTGGCCAAGACGAGCTGCTCTTAGGGACTCCCTGGCTGGGCTTTGCCTCCAAACAGATGCCGTCTCTCTAACAGACATGACCAGCAGAGTCCTGTAAGCAAAACTCTGGACTGGCACCCTTGTACAGCTGCTTTGACGCTACCTGTCCTCCATTGTTAGACGGAGGATAATTCAAGTGCTGTTTCTGCAAGAGAGGAAATAGCCATTTCTCAAATCTTGATAGTTGTACATCGTACCAAAATGAAATGAATAGAAAAAGCCTTGTGGATGGATGAAAGCACTGTCTTTCAAAGGCAGATTGGGAAGTACCGTACTGTTAAGGGTGGACTTCCTCCTTCATTCCGAAGCAAGCCTATCTGGCCCATGGAAAGGAATGTATGTACTATGAAGACTTTGCGGGTTCCCATTGTGTTCCTTAGCAGCAAAACGTGCAAAGCACAAGTAGGCTGCCCAGAATTGCTTGTTTGGTGAGATGGGCTGCTATATAAATTGGATAAATAAGTACAGTTTAATTGCACCCTAGTTAGTGTTTGTGTAGCCTAAAGGATTGCAAACTGCACAACAGAGTGTTTGCTTCCTAGTGTGAGCTTTTGCTCAGAAGTGGAAATGAGTGAGATGATGCCTCAGGTGTCAGTGAACTTTCTGTTTTTGCTTTAATCCCTCCCACCGCATCACACATTAGAAGCCCCAATGATTCAGATACACCGGCACCGAATTTCCATTAAAAATTCTTGGAAGAAATTATTGTTCAAAAAGTGTGTTGCTCCACTGGCAGATTTCACAATGTCTCTTATGTTTTGGGGTGTAAAATACACTCCAAAAGTGCTGTTGTAAAGCACTGCTTGTGTCAGTGAGGCTTGTGTGCTGTGTGCTGTGAGCATGTATAGCTGGTTGTTTTTTGTTTCCCTTGTGTGTGCATTAAATTGTGCAAACCTGTTTGCTGCCTAATTATTTTCACTTCAGATTCAGAAATTTTGGCATCCTGATGATTGAAAAATCCATTGATTTCCTCGGTCTGCATGATCCCCTCCCTTATTTGATTATTTTGCTATTTAGATGCCCTGGAAGATTTATTTCAGATTCAGTTGCGGCTTGAATGTTAGTTCCTAGCATGGCTTCGGAATCCCTACTATTTTAATAGTCTTCCTGAATAAAGGTGGAACCTGCTTATAAACTATTCTAACAGTCTCTGTACATCTGAAATCTGCACCTAGTTCTTCATTATCCATCCTCCTCCCCCACCTTTTTTTTTCTCCAGCACATTCAGGGGTTGTCCTTTCAGTGGAGGAAGTAGAAGCTGGGCTGAAAGGCCTGAAAATGGACCAGGAGGGGATAACTGCTGCCCCCTTAACGGCAGAGCGGATGGAGGAGTCCCTGAATGTGACTGATTCACGGCACTTGAAGGACGGGGACATGTCTGCCTTCAACAAGTTAGTCAGTACCATGAAGGCAAGCGGAACTCTACCCTCACAACCCAAAGTCAATGTAAGTAATAAGACCGAGATTATAAAGCCCACCACTCCTGATCTTGGGCTACATATTGAACTGCCCCGTATGATACAGAGATGTAACGTGCATAATTTATATAATAAATGTTCAGTTTCCCTACATGTGGCCCTTTTTTTTTTTTTTTTTTGCATATCAGCAAACAAGTTGATATGAGGCTTAGCATTAAAGCGCCTATTTTGGCAATTAAAAGAAAGTCCTTGGCAATCTAATTGTTTGGGTCCAAAAGTATCTGCATTGAGCATTCCCAAGTAGAAGCTTTTATTCAATTTTAAAATTTTATTTGTTAGACAAATTTATATGACTGCCCAACCCACAGGCGACTCCAAGTCTCTACTGTCTCTACTCTTTGTATGATAGATGAATCCAGCCATTGTGATTTGTAAACCATGGCTATAATGCTTTAGTATTGATGCCAGGAAGCTGGCAGCTGTGTCTTCCTCAGCAAACCACATGTAAAAAAAATAGCTGACTATAATGCAGAAACTGAATACAATTCTCTAGTTTCTTGCATGGTGCTCTTTTTATAGGCTCTGAGGTCTGTTTACAATGGATACGTCTGTTGATAAGAGCAGGTCTCATTCCATGCAGTATTCTGTAAAGAAATGTCCTCAGTTGTAGCTCCTGCCAGGTTCTTCTGCAGAAGTAGTTTCCAGCTGCTGCTGTTTGGCTGGTAGATCTTCAAGAGGAGAAAAAACTCCTTTGAAAATAGTCCAGGGACATAAATATCCTTTGAACTCAAGGTAACCTTTGGGAGAAGGTAGAGAAGAGATCGGAGAGAATTTCAGGCAGAAACTGGTGAGAGAATATTGTGCTTATAGCTGCAATGGCTGCTGCCTTTTGGGGTTGCCTTGATTATTCAGACATGCCAACTGGCACCTTGAATCATCAAGAAAAGCAAATCTTGCCTCCTGGTAGAGGTTGGAATATCTCTGTGGACTCCTTAGATGAAACGTTGGTGGCCTCCATCTCCAAACTCCTAGTTCACCAGGACATGTAACCTTAAGTCCCAGAAACATTGAATTGGAAGGGGTCAATGAGGTCATCAAATCCAGCCTCCTATTAAAGCCTCTCACCAGCTGTTCTGCTTTGGAACACATCCGGGGAAGGGATACCCTCCACCCTCCCCACCCCAGCAGCATGGGTGGAATCTCTGTTTATTGGAGAATGAGGAAAAGGGTGGACCCTAATACAGGGGTCCCCAAGCCCCGATCCCTGGACCGGCACTGGGCCACGGCATGCCAGAATCCGGGCCATGCAAACAAGCGAAACCCCATTTGTGGGATGCAGGCAGCACATGAAACAACGCCCCCTCCGGCCTGTGGAAAAAAATTTCTCCACGGAACCGGTCCCTGGTGCCCAAAAGGTTGGGGGCTGCTGCCCTAAAAGACAGTGAAGGAACCTGGATGAGTGGATCATGTGTGGTGGGAACGTGTGGTGAAAATTATAGTAAATTCAAATAAATAGCGTCCCAGCTCACAACCTGCCTTTGCCTTTTATTGAGATTCTTGGGCAAATTATTCCTGCTCATTTGCTTTCCTGAGAAGTTGATCCTTGTGACCGCACCCACCACAGAAAACATACTACAATTGAAAATGTATTCTACCACTTCAAAATTCCAAAGGTGCCATAAGCTCAAGTTGGAGACTCTCTAAATATTTCTTTACTAAAGCTAGAGAGAAAGAGGCAGAATTACATTATTTGTTAGTATGACATAAATTTGTTATCTTGCACTCTTTGAAGGAAGGAGGTCTACCTGGTTTTGAAGGCTGCTGACACCCAGGTCTAAGAGCCTGACTGTGTGATGTGATGGGCAATAAACTTTAATTGTCTGGATTTTAAGTCTGCATCTTGACATAATTGAACAATCTATGTTACAGAACAAAGGATGACATAATTTGCTTTTGCATAGTCACAATCTTTGGAAGAATATTAATGTTTTCTTTAAAAAAATAATTGAAAACTTAGACGGGAAGGCTTCCCTTAATGTTTAATGTGGACTCTTGCTAGAGGCAAATTCAGCTGCAGAACTATTTCCTCTGTTGTTTGTTAACAATAGAATTTATTAAATTTATTAAATTAAAGACCAGATTAGTAATTTCACACATGCAAACAAAGTATTAAGATCCAAACCAGGCATATCAGGAACTACTAAATATTGTCCAAACACTTTGATGATGATAGTGTTCGTTTGTTACTTCAGATTAAATCAGACAAATATGTGTTTGGACTGCTAGGGAGCAACCCATCCATGGCCTTTAGATTGCCTGCGTCTGGTGGCTACACACCTGGTGGCAAATTAGACACTTAGCACCTCATCAGTTGAAGGGTGCTTCTCTTTGCATGTGGTGATGGACAGTGGTTGAGTTTGGATCAGATAGTGAATTTAGCAAGAGAGAGAGATCGCAGGTATGTTGTTTTCCTTTCAGCAAACTTCTGAAAACCCACTGATATCACCTTCTGAGATGCCGGGCCAGGCAGCTACAAAGAATATCTTGCAGGTATTATAGCAATCTCTTATTTTGTTCAAACTCCTGTTGAAAACATTTCTGGCTATAGTGTTAGAGTATCAACAGAGCATTTTAATTATTCTAAAATCTTTTTCATATGGTCCATAAGATATATAATAATCATGTACATTAAAAATGCAGCATTTGAAGACTGATTTAATTACTCTGTATATGACTGAGTGGTGTTAGAACAGTTTTCTTCTCCACACCTCCCACTTTCTGCTTTTGCAGACCTTAGAATTAATCTATGCCCCACTAACAGGCCCTTGAAAGAACACAATTAGCAAACTGTCATTCTTAGGACTTTGAAATGTCATCAACGGACCCCATGCCTCAACTTGATGCCTGTTTGTTTTGTTGCATGTTTATTGATAGAGGTTTCCAAAGCCCTAAGCAGAGAGCTACGGTATTTGTGAGAATTGTAATTATACTGTCAGAAAAATGCAGAATGCATAACTGGAGGTTTAAAAGAGCTGTGTTCTTCCCAAGGAGATCCTGGGGCCCTCCCCTTCTTGCAGACAGACGTCATCCAATGTCCTCAGCACCTTGATGGGGGGCTTGGAGCCTGTTCCCTCCCTCCTTGCCCAGAGAGCCTCCTCTCCACCACAGCCTCCCATCTCACAGATGTTTCCCACTCGGGCTGCTTCAGCTGACTACTTGAGGCATCGCATCCCATCTCCAGTTGGTGAGAAACGTTCCTGCTCAGGTAGTTTCAGTAACATAGATGGTAGCCAGTTCATGTCTGAAGCATTGAGCATTGACTCTTCTGTGAGATCAAGTCATAGAATGGATGGGACCTGGATGGAATTTACCTGATCTAATCCTTCGCCCAGAATACTGCTGTAGCATCCCAATTGACTGCAGGTCCAGAGTAGCTGAAAATTTCTGACTGGAATAAGCCAGACTCAGGTTCTAAATAATGTTTAGATCAACATTAAGCACAAATGCAGAAGAAACCTCTTGGCTGCTTTCACTGTGTGTTGCTTTCGGGGGATTGGCGGAGAGAATGAGACTGGCCTTTCTGCCTACTGGTGTGTTTTTAACCATTTTAAAGCATTAGAACTATAGTTTTAAAACAATTCACTTGAGCAAAGGGGCAAAAAAATGGGCCAGAATAATTGTTAAAACGTCCTATGTTTTCCTCTTCTGTTTCCTACAATCGGTAGCTCTCATTCTTCTCCACTAAATAGGCTGGCATTCTGATCTCCTTCAGTGAAAGATGCTTGTTCTAAAACAAAATCATACAGAAACTGCATTTTCCACCGAAGGAAAAGAGCTCATGTCTTATTAGTGAAATTACTCATGAACTTATTCTAGGTTTTGGACCAGGGGCGCAGCAGTTGCTTACTGATCCATTTCAGGGGATTCGGAAACCAGTGAGCCCAGCTGCTGCCACTGCTGCTCAGGTAAGGGAAGGAGCTGGCTCCTCTCCATCTCACTTGGCTTTAAGAGTGGAAGCATAATACCAAAACCATTCAGTTTGTGATCTAGAGCAGGGGTCTCCAACCTTGGCAATCTAAGACTTGTGGATTTCAACTCCCAGAATTCCTCAGCCACAAGTCTTAAAAGTTGCCAAGGTTGGAGACCCCTGCTCTAGAGGGAAATGTTGTAAATGTTGAGTAAAATGTTGTATTTTCAGTGTGAAACTCTGCAGCTAAAATGTTCCTCCTGAATTTATATACAGAATAATTTGCCATGCCTTTTCTAATTCTGGAGGTCAGAGCATTTTGCTCTGGGAGACCAATGTTTTAGAAAATGCTGGGAGGTGTGGAAATGTCAAAATGCACACACCAATAACCTGATTATTTAAGATAATGGTGACAATGGGGAAAACCACATTTAATGGGATCCAAGAAATGTGAAGCAATGGGAAAAAAGATAACCTACTTTAGAATAGAATACATAAACACTTGTAACATAGCAATACAGTTATTTAGAGAGTGTATTTCACAGTGCCACAGCTCTGAGAAGTAGCCTTGGTTTAATTTAACTTATATACATGGGGTCTCCCTTAAATGGAAGTAAATCCTGCAATGCACAGATGAAGTTATTATAGGAGAAACAAGAGTGTGGTGTAGCATGACACATTCTGCAGAGTAGCAGTGAGTGGTGTGCACATGCTCCATTGGAACTCTATTGAAGCCTTGCATTGCACTCCTTCTGACTGTGATAACATCAAATTGGCCCCTGGTTATTGGCCATGGACTATCACCTCCCTTTGATCTTTGATGTACTCGGTGAATGACCTTCGTGCCCTGCGAGACTCCCCCCTCTCGCAGGTCTGGCCCTCTTCGTTATCGAGGGCCTATCTTGATGACGGGCGTTGGAGCCCCGAGAGATGGCATGCGGCTAAGAAGAGTTTGAGGGGTTTTTTAAGTGGGTTTTTTAGTGAGTTTTTAACAAAAATTTTAAGGGGTTCGGGGGGGATTAGGGTGGGTTCTGGGGGAAATCCACCGGGTTCAAGACCAGCCTTAGCGAAGGGCTGCGACATTAGGGACGTAGAACCGGAGGTCGGGGAGGGGGTTGGAGTTCGATTTGAAGAGGGCTGTTCCATCAGCACAGTGAGTGGGAGGGGCAGATATGGCGGAAGCTGGGGACCATATCATGTGCGGGGAATGCGCACTTGCTATCTTAGAGCGATTGCGCATTCCGGTCCCCAATGCTTTTCTTGTTCCCCAGGTTGTTCAGATTCTCAGGGCCAGAGCCTCCGGCTGATGTTGTTTAACGCCAGGTCCGTTGTTAATAAAGCCCCCCTCATCCACGATCTTATTCAGGAGGGGGAGGCGGACCTGGCGGGCATTACGGAGACCTGGTTGGGCCAGGAGGGGGGAGTCCCCCTCATGGATATATGCCCACCAGGCTTCCGTGCATTTCATCAGCCGAGGGCTCAGGGCAGGGGCGGGGGGGTGGCGGTTATTATAAAGGAAGGTCTGGATCCAAGGGAGACCACTGTTCCACAGATAGCCGGATGTGAGTCCCTCTTTGTGAAGTGGGGTCGTGGAGTACAGATGGGCCTGTTGGTCACGTACCTGGCTCCCTGCCACGTGGCAACGGCCCTGCCCGAGCTCCTTAACGTTATAGCCGAGGTGGCGGTGGGCACCCCCAGACTTGCCATCATGGGGGATTTCAACCTGCCATCTATCGGTGAAACGTCTGAGGTGGCTCGAGAGTTCATGGCTTCCATGACGGCCATGGACCTTACTCAGTTAATTCATGACCCCACTCACACAGGAGGACACACTCTGGACTTAGTTTTTGTCTCTGGTCAGTGGTTGAGTGGCCTTGATATAGGGGATATAGCCATCGAACCCTTGTCATGGTCTGACCACTCGCTCCTTCGACTGGACTTTCTAACCGCTGCACCCTGCCGCAGGGAGGCGGGACCGACCAGGTGGTTCCGCCCCAGGCGCCTGATGGACCCTGATAGGTTCCAGATGGAGCTTGGGCCATTTCCTGAGATTCGGGCTCATGACTCGGCCGAAGACCTGGTGGCCGCCTGGGATAGTGCGGCTGCCGGGGCCTTGGACCGAGTCGTGCCTTTGCGGCCTCTGACCCGGCACCGAACTCACCTAGCTCCTTGGTTTTCCGAGGAGCTTAGGGAGATGAAGCGCCGGAAAAGACGCCTGGAGAGTAGTTGGAGGACCAGCCGCTCCGAACCTGACCGAACACTGGTGAGGTCTCATATTAAGACCTACCTAGTGGCGATAAAAGCGGCGAAAACTAATTATTTTGCCGCTCTTATCGCGTCATCAGATAATCGCCCGGCCGCCCTGTTTAGGGTGACCCGCTCCCTCCTCCATCTGGAAGTGCGGGATGACCCCTTGCAGGGTCGAGCTGAGGATTTTGTGCAGTATCTGTATGACAAAATCGCTCAGATTCGGGAAGGGCTGGCCTCTGACTGGGTATGTCCAGATGGGATGACTGAGGCAGGTCTTGAGAGTGTTATCTGGGGGGAGTTCGATCCTGTGGCTCCCGAGGACATGGACAGGGTCCTGGGACGGCTGAACGCGACCACATGTTTATTGGACCCGTGTCCCTCCTGGTTGGTACTGGCTTCCCGGGAGGTGACACGAGGCTGGCTCCAGAAGATTGTTAACGCTTCTTTGAGTGAGTGAGTCTTGCCGGCCGCTTTGAAAGAAGCGGTGGTGAGGCCCCTCCTCAAGAAGCCATCCCTGGATCCGGCTGTTTTGGCTAACTATCGTCCAGTCTCCAACCTTCGCTTCATTGCGAAGGTTGTTGAGAGTGTGGTGGCGCAACAGCTTCCCCGGTACCTGGATGAAGCTGTCTATCTAGACCC